TATAGCAACAAAGGCTGTTGATATTTTTATATTCTATATGCTGTTGAGCCAAACCATGGCTCTTTTCCCTAAAAATGACCCTTTATTTTCACTAAGGACCTTGGGGACAGGGAGAGAAAGGGGTACAGGCCTATGAGTGAATGGAGGTCAAGTGCAGTCCACCAGAAGCAGAACCAGCTGCACAGTTGGTCTTTATTCAAACATGGGACCCTGGGTGACACTGGGTTAAAGGTCCTCAATTACTAAGAGTTGGACCTCACTCAAGTGCACCCAACTGTCAGGAGAAAAAGGTTGAGGGGGATCTCCTTCTGCAAAACTAGCCATCAAACATCCTAGTCTCATATGCCCAGGGTGTCCTAGGTTAAAATCAACTAAATAGCATTTGGTTTTTCTTGTTATGATCCTCAAGTTATTGAAGATAGTGGTGGCAGGGCTTCCCAGGAGCTGTGGGGCCCTGAGCCCAAGTTTCTGTTGAGTACACCGGTTACATGCCGGTGAGGCCAGTCATCAGTAGTTGCGACAATGGATCAAACCTCCCCACCCATCCTCACTTTCACTTGAATCTTCAGGACAACGAAGATCCCTGGCTGCATCAAGTCACCTCCAACTCACAGAGCAGAACTGTCCCTGTGGGTTTCCGAGTCTGTAACTCTTCACTGGAGTGCAAAGCCTCATCTTTCTCCCGAGGAGTGGTTTGCGGTTTCAAACTGCTAACCGTGTGTCTGGCACCTGCTGCATAGCCCACTACACTAGCATCCTAATGACTTCCGTTTTATAGCTGATTCAACCGAGACAGGGTGATGTAACTCACCCAAGGTCACACTATTAGGGAAGGAATAGGCTATTCACATCCAGCTTTGGCCTGTTCCCTCCAAAGCTGGTGTCTTTAATCATACACTCTATGTGCATGATATCCCTTGCTTGCTACACGATCTTGCTTGTTGAGACCAAAGAGAACTGGAAGCGCTTGCAGATAGGGAGCAAAGACGATCGCCTTCGTTATGTAATACACCTCAAAGTAAACCAAACAAAACCCCTCAGAACTAGGTCTGAGAGCAGCATCAAGATAGAAGAAAAAAACAGAGGAGTTGTCAAGGATGTTCTTTGGTTTGGATGCACAATTGACACCCATGGAAGCAGCAGTCAAGGAATCAAACGACACACGGGCCCATCTGCTGCAAAAGACCTCTCCAGTTTGAAAAGGCAAAGATGTCACTTTTAGGGCTCAGTGCACCTGACCCAAACCAAGGCACTTGCAATCACATCAGATGCATGGGAAGACTGGACCAGAAGGGAGCCTGAAGAAGAACGGATGCATCTGAATCATGATACTGGGTGAAGCATACTGAAATTACCAGGGACTGCCAGAAGAACAAATACATCTCCTTAGACGGTCAGCCCGAATGTTCCTTAGAAATTAGCAGCGTGGGACTTCTTCCTGTGTACTTTGGACATGGCACCAGGTGGGACCGATGCCTGGAGAGTTCCCTACATCATACTTGAAGGTAGACGGTCAATGAGAAAGGGGAAGGCCCTCCAGGAGATGGACTGACTGTGGGTGCAATAAGGAGCTGCAACACTGCAACGATGGTGAGGTGGGTGCAGGGCCGGGTGGTGTTTCCTTCTGTTCCATGCAGGGCTGCTCGGAGTTCAAACGGACTCCATGGCACCTCGCTACCATCTCAGCCCGTCCCTTGTACTCTACCTCCTGGCAGGTCAGTGGGGATGCAATACAAAGAGAATCGTTCCGGGCCGGAAATCACCCAGGAAGCTCTCGGCTGAGAGTATCCAAACCCACGTATGTCCTCAGAAACCTGAGTTTGTCATCCGCTGCATTCATCGGTCCTCTGCTGAGACAGCAAGACTCAAGGAGTTAAGAGTTCAGATACCTTTTGGAAAAGAATAAGAGGTCACTGCGCTGCCTGAGCCACACAGGACACAGGTCCAACAGGGAGCATCAAGCAGCAGCAGCAAGAGGGCAATAAAGAATCCAGGGCACGAGACAGAGGGCCATCTGCGTCAGGCTTGACTGCCGCTGCCATTTACTAAGGTCCAGGGAGCAGGTTAGTGGTAACTGAATTATGAGACCAGAACTCCTTTTAGAAGGAAGAAAACATTGCCTGCTCTGAATTAAGTCATGCTCCACAGGCCATCATGAGTCTTCTGCTTCCATCCAGCCCTGGGAGGTGACCCCTTTTTCAAACCCTGCTTCTCCCCCAGGAGAACAGACGAAACGGAATAGGAGTTCATGTTCATGATCGTAAGCCTGGCGAGAGGGGGTCAGGCTCCAGTTACTTTCCCTTTATCTCTTCCGACAACTCAGCACACATATTTTTCTTCATCACTCCTAGGAATGACCTGTAGGATCAACAGCCAAGGCAGCCAACTAGACTTCTTCCTGGAGGTAAAATGACAGCCCAAGTATGGATGGGTTTTAAAAAGTTGGTTGGGGGGGGAGGGGAATGGAATGAAAAATTCCATGAACTTTCTGAAGTCCCCTCCCATAAAACATGCAGGCTAGAGTGGGTCTGGTGTCATCTGGTCAAAGACATAACCCCACTTTAGTTCATAATCTGCAAACCGGCTGAGAGAAATCTACCAGCTATCTACCAGAGAAATCTTACAGCTAGTTCATGGTAATGCTGGAACCAGAAGCT